ATTAATAAATTTCATTAAATTTTTATTCACTAGAATTGAAACAGAAAACATTAGCACAAGTATTAATTTAGAATTCACTATGTTTAAACCAATATATTTATTATTTTTCGAACATTTTATTCACTTTCATTTTATCAATATTTATGAGTGCTGAATAGACAATTGTGGAATCAATCTTTTTTTCTTCCAATCCTACTCAGATTGTGACTAGTTCTTTTCTCATGCTTTCAATCGCAGTGTTACTCTCGATTCAGTGAAGTCCTTCGGAAAATATTCACATGAAATATAGATAAATTTTTTAAATCTTCGTCATTTGGCTTATTTTATCAACAGACATCGCATTAGTTTTGGTCTTCAGGTCTGAGCTTTGTTCTTGTTGCCATCATAAACACATTGGTCGATTCTTAAATGATAAAAAATCCAGCTACAATTTTAGTCTCGATGCAAGGATCAAAGCTGGCCTCAGATATCGACGCTTAAAATCTTTATGAGTTTCAAGGATAATTGTTTATTTATTTCAAATTTTTTAGAAATCTAAACATACGGGCCGGCTTCAGTTAGAAAACGGTACAGTATTAGAAGCATGAATCCCGTGATCGGACCCGGTGTTCGGTTCAGCCCCGTTTCGATCAAAATTAGATAAACCTTTCTATAAGGTCCAATCACCCTATTCCTACTTCCTATTTACTACCATTTTCTTGGGTTTTTCGGCTAAAAACAATGTCTTGGCATTGAATTCTCGCTGGAATCATCGATCTAGGGTATCCAAAAAGTCATTAAACAAGAATAAACTTGACTAGTTTCATTGTGTTTTGATCAAATGAAGTGGATCTGTTTTTGAGTATAGAAGAGAACTGCAAGTTTTTATTCATAAATGAACAATTTGACTAATACATCTAAAACCTATCATTCTGAATTCAATTAAAAATTAGATTTATTCACCGAAGGATGGACAGCAGTTATGTGGATATTTGAGAATTCCACGTAAAAAATTTTTCGGAATGATTCTTTACAGCATCGAAGAACCCAGAAAAGCTGGTGACAGTTAAAGAATTAGAAATGAAATTTTCAAAACATCGAAAAAAGCTAAATATAAATATTTGAAATGTTTATTACATTGAAAAAGTCTGGAGTATTCCATTTTTATTTTTGGCAGAAAATTTTTTTTCTATTGAAATTAATCGTAGCAAGTTCTAAATGTATTGCTAAATTGTTTATTTATAAATAAAAACTCAGAACTCTCTTCTATCTCTAGAAAAAAAGCTCATTTGGTCAAATCACGATGTAGATATTCAAATCCTTTTTTTTTTGTTTTTAATAATTTCCAGAATATCTCATAAATCCATGAAAAAGTTCACATCGAATTGAAGGTATAATAAAAAAAAAACAAAAGGTGAAAAATTGAGTGTTGAAATAAAATTTCCTAACTATAATCATTAATCTGGATTGACAAAATTATTATTATCATCATTTTATTTGTCAAGGAAAATCCTTCAGAATATTCAAAAATAATCATAACAATATCTGTTACACACTTTTATGTCTTTCTCTAATGTAAGTTAATGTTTTTTTTCTCTGACTCATTTCTTTTCTAAAACTACTTATATAACACTGGAATGACCTCTTATGTAGACAGAAAAAAAAATCACTTTTAACAAGTCACAAATGGTATGAATGGTTCTGAAAAAAGAACTGAAAATAGACCTTATTGTCTTCGACAGCCATCTTCATATAAGTTGTTCTATAAATCAGTTTTACAACGATCTTGTTCAAATTATATTAGTGTATGGCAACTTTCATGTTGACTAAGAAAGTATCGAACGAAACGAACAATCGATGGGCAAATGATGGTCGAGAAAAATAGAACTCAGCGACTTTTTTTTGTGGAGGAGAACGGAAGAAAAAAATGAAAGAATGAGAAATGTATTATCTACTTTCTGTCAATCAATGATTTAGTACAGATCAACGGAAAAAAGTCAGTGTAAGATCTAGAGGTCAGCAAGAACATTGAGAACAAGAATAAATGATAACCTTTTTTTTTATTGCCTTAGATCCGAAAAAGTTTGTTATGCTTCTACAAAAAGAACAAGATTAAACAGGAAAATAACAGACCTATTTAGGTCATTAAGAAATATGAAGTTTCTATTTGCTGTTTTCTCCTTGATTAAAACTGATGTGCTTTAAAGTTAAATAATGATTGCTTGGTTTATTTCATATTCAATACTTTCATAAAAAAGAAAACTATTTTAATGTTAAATTCGAAAAATAATAATTTTTATCCATAGATACATATTTTTAATAAAGTTATTTATGTCTGTTTCAAAAAAAAAGTGGGTTAGTATTTTTCGAATGACTTTTGATAGAAAGCTGCGGTTTTCTTCTTTAGAAAAAGGAGATAAAGCCACATCGAATCGTATATTATAAGATTTTTAAGAAAGACTTTTTTTAAAGGTTTTCAATCGATACTTTTGAAAATCAACCTATCGTATGTGTTGACTTCAGTGAATTTTCAATTATGAGATTGCATTCGAAACACCAATTGAAGGTCTACAAAACTGCATAAGGTTAACATTTTTAGATTTAATCATTCAAGAGTCATCAGCTTTTTGGTCAATATTCTCAGCCGATTGTTCTCGCATTTTCTGTAAAAACAAACATACTTTTTCTTGCTTCTTAAGTTTAAAGCAACCATTGTTCCGATATGTTTTTTTAGAAAACATCTTAGAAGAATTACTAATATAAGATTTGATGTGTTTTCATATCCTCTTTAAAAAAAGAATGAAAACTGCAGCTTTCTATTTTGCTTCTAACAAAATTTACTTGATAAATACTTAGCTGCTTTTGTTTTTAAAATGCGCATTAGACGCTTGAGTGATTGAAATATAGTATCATTTTCTTGTTTAGACTTTTTGCTTAGTGATTCATCCTAATGACTGCATCAAACTTGATTATTTTGCTTCTATCAAGACGGGTTCTTTTTATCTCTACTTGCATATTTTAGAAAAAACTACAATGAAAAAGCACTACATAGGATAGAATTGAAGATATAGGATGTCTGAAAACTAGCTCTCTATTTTAAATTCTTTTTTTCTCTTTAATAAGAATAAATATTGTATTACTTTTTTTTTACTATTTTGAAGCATGCTTTATAAGGTTTTGTTTTACATAAGAAGGAATGTTAATGAATTGACTATGTAAGATCAAACGCAACGTTCATCTGAAAAATGATAAGTTCTGATGCGTACAATATATCAAAAGATAGCGCATCAACAATTGAAATATATACGTTATTTAAAGTATTGTATATCATCGATTGATTGATGTTACATAGTTCAAGATGAGTGGAAAAGGACACAATTCATCGAAATACACCAACCGAGATTTGCCAATATATTTGCTAGTATTTTTTGAAATTGAAAGACCTCAAATAGAATTTTAAAAATGCTGTATAACTTTTCATTTTATCAAAAATGGTAAAGGCATTTCCCCTCGATGTAAATAGTGGCTTACATGATCACTAGCCGAGTAAACAGCATGAAGAAAAGCGATCTCTCTTGGGCATGTTCTATGAAAATTTTCATCTCAAGAAATAAAAAAAAACATGTTTATAAAACCGAATGATGATTTGAGTTGACCCATCTAGGTTATATATTTATCATGGATACTCGCATGCTGCTCTCAACAAGACAATCTATATTATTCACATGCATAAAGAACAGAAGAAATTTCTTTTAATTCTTTACAATACATTTCAATATAACTTCTGTATGATATTGAATATCAATAGAGAACAAGATTTATGAAATGAAATCGAATTATGCTACGTATTTTAATTTAATATAAATATTAAATTTTATCGTATTCATTTCTTCATAAGCAAAATTTTTTTTGATCATCAATGTTGTATATTCATGTATAATCAAACGAAATTTTTTACTTGTTTACAGTTTAAATTTAAAAAAGTATTCTTCTTGTTTGTTTTTTTAATTTTAAATCACTCTGGAATAATAATTAAAAAAAAAATAGAAAGATTAATAATGAAAAAACTAATTAATCACACTAATTAAAAGTTTTCGAAAATGATTTATCTGAATGTATATCTTATATATGGTACATCTTCGATATCATTTCCTTCAAGATCTTCACATGTAAAATCAAGAACTAATGAACGAACATGCGATGGAATTTTTGTATTTGTCAATGTTTCATAGATTTCAGAAACTCTTCAAAAAAAACAAAAATAAAAAGATAATTGTATTTCTTTAACATAGGAAAATAAATTAATTC